TGAATATTATTTAAATTAATATATTATTAATATTTATTGCAGAGAAAAATCTTTTTAAATTATACCTTACGGGCAATTAAATATACCAAAACTCAAATATACGAATTAATATTTTATAAAAGGTGCGGTTTTAATGTTGATCAATGATTATTAACTTTAATTATTCATTTCTAATGCATTATAAAAAAGTCAGAATGAAGAAAATTTAATCATTGACTTTCTTAGTAACTTACAAAACTATTTTTGAGGTTAGGTTTTTCCTAGATTAGGGTTTTCCTTTTCTTCTCCCTTCTGAAAAGTAATTAACATTTATAACTATTATTGATAATATGTTGTAATATACAGTAACTGTAAATAGTAACAGAAATAATAGTCAAATAGTGTAACTAATAATATAATATGTAACAAGGCTAACTTTGTTACTATTAACGTAATTAAAAATATTTAACTACATTTTAACCTTTAACTAATTATAACTAATTAACTGTAGTTAAACTTTTAAGTATTGTGACGTTTAAAAACTTTTCATTATAAATAAAACAAATTCTTTGACTATAAGTTACACGTCAATTTATTTAACTATTTAAACACAGTTAAAAACTGTAATAATATATTCTATAAATAATAGTTTTTAACGTAGCTATAGAATTATTTATAACAGATGATATACAATTACCATAGTAAAAATGCTTTTTATTTTTAATTTTGGGATTCCTCGAGACCCTAAAGCATATGCCTCAATGCCTTGGGGACAATCCGGCACTGTTTGAACCTACTAACGTAATAATAGATAATCTTTGCAACTAGAAACAACTGTAGCAAGCCCTGTAACTATAATACAATAATATCAATATACTAAAATAGCAGAAGCGAACACTATACCTAATAATATAACGTCAGTTAAACACCATAGTACAATATAAAAATATATAAAATTGTCAATATTAATTTATTTAAATAAAAAAAAAATGTCTTATTTTACGTCTTTATAATGACATATAATCGTCTATAATAACGAAAGTATTTCTTATTTTAATCTTATAATAATATATAATGGATTAACTTAATGAATGATGTTTAAAAATAGAATTTTATATAAGTTATAATACAAAAAACTTTTTTATTTTAAAGAATATTAATTTTTCGACCTAAAAGTTTTAATTTTCCTTTCAAAATCTAACTAAATTCAAAAGAAAATTTAAAACACTATTTATATAAAACATATTTTATCTTTTACTTATATAATTAAGGAAGTAACATATAAAATCATTTTTATCGATGTAATCAATCAACTTATTATTGATTGAAACTATAAAGACTGGCAATTGTTCAAGGTTTATTGGTTTCCTCTAGTTAAGCAACATTACTACATATCAAAATAATGATAAACATCATTGCTTATAATGCATACTCCTCTTCAAATCTATTGTTAGAATAATAATTATATTTTATCGTTTACGCGTTATATTTGTTTCATTACTTAAAATAAATCTCTTAACAGTTTATTTAATTAAATATTTAATTAATTATACGTTTTTAATTACGTCTTTCTGTTATGTTTTTTCCTAGAGATTAAACGATCCTAAATCAATATTTAAATCGAATGTAGGAAGAAGAAAATACTTTAATAGGGAATCTTTCTTATATTTTTTGTATATTACGAAAGCGTATATTTATATTTTGATATTCTTTATGTATTTTTAATATAAGTTCTTTATTATGATCCAGTATATGTATGAATATAATAATATATGCATATATTATGTTAATTTCTCGCTACATTTATATCGTGCAGTATATTCTCTTAAAGAAATTAACTATCTCTGCAGGGAAATATCCTTTATATAAGAAATTTTCTTAAGAAATTTCTCTAAATTTCCTATATTTTCCTCTAGTTAAACACTACTCTGAATAGAATAAACTGATAGGAATGCTGGAATAAAGAATATAAATAATCCCTATCAGAAAACACTTTATTTTTCGAGTTAAAATTATAAAAATAATATAAATCAATAAAGATTTATTCTACTGCCTAATTATTTTTTTATAAGTTATAACGACTGATTTACAAGGACTAAACACGATATAATATATTTTTTCTTAATGATCATCGTGTAGATGATGCTTATACAGTATGTAAACATGCATGTTAACATATGCACACAGAAAATGAAGATGATATACGATACAAACGTTATCATCACTTTAACGAGGATGTAAACGTTTAAGATACAGAACTAATTGATGATAAGTAGTAAACAAATTTATAAAACTGATATACAGTATACTTATATATAATGTGTTAATGATGATATGCCTCATTAAGAAAAGTTATTTTCTCATGAATAAAAGTTATGATGATAATATATTAATGTTAAAAGGCGCCATAATTTAATAGGATTTTCACTAATAACTGTTAAGCTAAATATCATTTTCTTAATTTTTTAATCTTTTTAAATATATAACCATTTTCAAGGACTTTATTATAAATCAATGTCAAGAGCATTATCAGGAGAGTAAAAACTTTAAAATTCATTACTTAATTATTGTGAAATCTTATTTCTTTGTTATCATACCAACATAAAAGTTTTAATATTATTACTTTGCATATTTTATTAACTACTTATTAACTAAAAGCGTCAATAAAAATGATTGTTTTATTATTTATTGACTATATAAAGTCATCAATAAAGATGATTAAAAGTAATGTAATTTATTCCTTTGATTTATTTTTTATAAATTAGTTTTAATTTTAAGATATTTAAAATTATTTATTAATTAAATTAAATTATCAATTTAACTGATAAGTTTTAATTATATATAATAAAAGAATATGAGAAACGATATCTCGGTTAATGGACTTTATGGCCACTCAATTTGTATTATATATACAATACGGTTCAGACCATACCTATATACAAAACATACAGTACACAGGGTGGAACATGAGTCAGTTAACCAAATTATATTTTAATATTATTTTAAACCTACTGAATTACGTCTAGTTGTTACAGACTGATTTTAATCATTATTTAAAAAATATATATATTATGGTTAACTGACTTTTGGACTACCCTATATTTATTTTATCTAAAAACACGTTTTAATTTTATAGCGATTCATCTTTTATTATTATTATTATTTCTTCGTGATTATATAAAAATGATTATAAATTTAAATGAATAATTAAATAAGGTTTAATATACTTTTATTAAATAATAAAACATTTCATTAATTTATATATTTATTATAAAATGAATTGCTTCATCAATAAAAATTATCTTTAATATAACTACATTAAATTTTATTAAATCGTTTATTATTAAATATATATTAATATATTTTTATATAGATTTTTTCAACATAAAAGTTAGAATATCTGCATATTTAATTATACTTTCGCCAATAGCAAATATCGATAACTTCCATTAAATTTGCAGTCTATTACGTTAAAAGTATTTATTTTTATGCTATCTTTTAGCGGAAAATTGAAATTTCTGTATTAGATTTTTATGTTATTTACTTAACGATAGTATCTAACAACATCTTTAAGTCATTTGCTAAAGAAATAATACAATGAATTGTAAAATATAAAGAGAAAAAGTAAAATATCTCTAAAAAACAAATTTATATTTGCCTAACTGCTGTAATAAGAAAGTTCTGTTTTATAGAAGAATATATAAATTTCTTTATAATAATTAAAATTTTTCTTTGAATAAAGTTATAAATTCAAAAAATCATAATTTTATATGGATACTAAAGTTACTTATCATATAAGTTTAATTTTAGTTGAAAAATTTAATCGAAATTTTAAGTAATTTTAAATAAAATAAATGTATGAATGTAGAAAATAATTTGTTTGTTTAATTAAGTAAATTAAATTTGTACGTACAATAAAGTTGTATAATTTATACATTGCATATAAGTGTAAATTATGCATGTTTAAAATTGATTTATTTAGGATAAAGT